TCAAAATGGTGGATTCAATAGTGGATTGCCAGGGGGAAAGGCTCCATGGGTGGAGTTGCTCTTAAAGAAAAAAGGGTGTCAGGCTATTAATTTTTATGGATCAAGTGTATGGATTTTTTGTAGATAGCGATGGGGCACTCATCTCTTCTTAGACAAAGGGCAGACTAGTTGCCAACTACAAAAAATTAATAGCCTGACAAAAAATTAATTTTTTTCTGATTAAAAAAACATTGATTGTCAGGTTATCAGTTTATAGCATCAAGTGCTATGGATTTTTTGGACTTGTTAGATACACATTTTATTATTCTTTTACTATCTTATTCAGTGATTTCATATAAGTATAATTTTTTGTATGTATCAGTATACATTTATTTACAAAATATATAAGAAATTTACCTAAATTTGCCTAGGCCGCCTAGGCGCCCGTCTAGACTCTGCCTAGGTGCCTAGGCGCTAGGCGCTAGTCCGCCATCCGACTAGTGCCTAGCGTTTTTTAGAACCTTAATTACGAATGAAAAGCACATGCAAAACGAAATTCAGAGTTACAATGAAAATTGAAGACCAAAGGTAAATCGGTAACTTAAAGCAAGTCCACTCCTAAAAATGCTCTGGCACTCAGCCCATTTAATCCACTTAAATAAATAATGATTAAACCCAATGAACAGTAATTGCTTAAATGCATCTTTACGCCTAAAAATGAGCTAGCACAAAGTCTAGTCAATTCGTATTAAAATATTATTAATTTTTTTAATAAAATAATTAAAAAATAGTTTTAATCTCGAATAGGATTTTTAACCAATCTTGTCACGCCACGTATCATTATCTGAAAGTACTATTTTGTTGATAAATTTCTAAATTTTCAACCAATCCCGACGCGCCACGTGTCACTATCGGTTTACAATAATTTAGTCAATATTTTGATAAGATTTTCAACCAATCACGTATTGCCATGTGACATTATCCGAAAGTATTATTTTGTGGATAGATTTCTGATAAGATTTTCAACCAATCCCGACGCGTCACTTATCACTATTGGTTTACAATAATTTAGTCAATATTTCGATAAGATTTTCAACCAATCACGTAATGCTATATGACATTATCCGAAAGTACTATTTTGTGGATAGATTTCCAATAAGATTTTTAACTAATTTTGACGAACCACGTGTCACTATCTATTTACAATAATTTAACTAAGATTTCGATAAGATTTTCAACCAATCACATAGTATCACGTGACATTGTCCAGAGGCTCATCCTTTCTATAACAACTTGTGCAATCTTTTCCCTGTGCAGTCGTAGTCTGCCATCACTCTTTTTCCTCGTATCTCCTCCCCTTGACTGTGCCATCTCTCTCATTTCCCCCATTTCTCTTCCCCACGACTCTGCCATCTCCCTCTTCCCTGTCATCTCTCTTTCCCTCATTTATCTTTCCCTGCCATCTCTCTCTTTTCCCTCATCTCTCACACTCAATCTCTATAAGAATCCTCAAACACTCCACCTCTTTCAAAGCGTCCGTGACTCTGCCATCTCTCACTTTCCCTGCCATCTCTCTCTTTTCCCTCATATCTCACACTTAATCTCTATAAGAATCCTCAAAACACTCCACCTATTTCAAAGCATCCATTCCCCCCTCTCTCTCCCTCATAGTTTAAACCTCATTTCCAACTCAGCTCAAGAACTTCATCACAGCTCAAGAACGTCGTCGGGAGGAACAACGCCCCAATAAACCCACCGGTAACTTTCTGTTGCTGTTTCTTTCTCCGCAACTTTCTATTGCTGTTTCTGTTGCGTTTGACACTCAACCAGTTCAAAAAATTCTCAACTTTCAGGGCCCTCAAACTACATCCTACGGATAAAAACACATGCATGTGTTAGATCTTGTTTCCTTTCACCCAAATCCATCAAGCTGACACGGAAGTCACACAAATTTCTTGATAGGATTTTTAACGTCTATGCAAATAGGGTCAAAATCACATGAAATACTTGCAAGAATACAAGGATATTGTAGTATAGATGCTCATGCAAGGTCGTTTTCCTCAAGGACTATTTGGATAATTTATGTAGAAACAATTCCTAATCAAAATACTTAGAATTAAAACTTGAGAAAATAGAGTTTGAGATTGGGTAAATTAAAAACGAATTTTAATTAAAAACTAATATAATCGAAGAAAAGATTTTTAAATACCAATTTATAAAGGCACTAGGGTTCCACCATCACCTAGCAATCCTATGAATTTCTACCAATTACTTACGATTTACACATGCTACTTCGAAGGTTAGGTTTTCCTAATATATATTCTCCTCGTGATATTCAAGCAAGAACATATATCTAACATGCAATCCGTCTGTGATATTCAGATCAAATATGAACATGCAAGACTCATGAAGTTTTATGAAAACCTTTTTAAGAACCATGCAACCCCTAAGAACGTGATATTCGCCTTAGATGGAATTACAATTATTAATCACAAGAAGCAATACTCAATCCTCCGGTGATATTCCGACCGAATTGCATCCAATTACTTGTCTAAACATCCTAATGGTGGCCAATCATCAAGATAATTAGATAGTTTAAAACAGTGATCAATAATTCAAAGTGTGCATGCAATCAATCATAAACAATTAAATAAAAATTACATATTCATGCTAAGGCTCAAGGTTTCGCCCTAGCAAAAGGAATAAGTTATGCATATTCATAATTGAAATCATAGAAAATATTATTACGAAGAAAAGGGATGAAAACACCTTAAAGTATAAAATCTCTAAGAACCCTAGCCAAGTTCTTTGTCTCTGACGTTGAATAATAATAAGCGTAGTCTAAAATTGTAGACGGCCAAAGCAATCTATTTTCTCCCCCCTCACAAACCCTAAGACATAGGTTTTTTATTCCAACTAGGAAACTAAGAAAAAAAATAAAATATCTTAAAAAATAAAACCCTAATTAAACTAGGAGAATCTGCCAAATACTTGTCCAGCCACGTTTTAGCCTCAGATCTCCTCCAAATCCGGCCCAAGACAGCTTGTTTTAAAGATAAGGACCTTCCGAACACATCTCCAGAAGGCCACGAAACTATCGGAGGTCATCTTGGACTCCAAAAACGCACTTTAAGCCCAGAAACGTCATTTTCCAGCACCGCACATCGCTCTTTTATTTTATCGCCAGAAAATAACCACTTGATGGAAAAATCCTAAATTTTGATACGACCAAGCTAAGTAACTCAAGAACGTCCTCCAACTGGAATTACTCCAAAATTCGTCCATTTGTCCATGTTTTGCTCCAGAGGAAGTCGAAAGTCCTATATTGAAAATACAATTCAAAGTATCAAAATTCTTCCAAAATATTAATCAAAATATACCAATAATAAGGTTAAATATATAATATAAAATTCACTTATCAAAATACCTCCAAACTTAGCTTTTTGCTTGTCATCAAGCAAAATAAAACTAGAAAATAAAAATAAAAACTAACAAACTAGACACTTAACTAAAACTCAGCTAAAACAAAATTCTCACTTTCAAGTTGCATTCCATAGAAAATGTTAAAAATCAAAACATCTTTTCAAAAGTTCCAACCAATCCCACCACAGAGTCTAAGCCATTTAGAATCAATTAGAAAAGAATTCACAAACTTCCTTTGGTGTAAAGTGAACAAACATAGTTAAAGAGACTCGACCAAAACTCTTACCTCTCATCCCTTTATTCATACTTCACACTAACTTCGCATAGATAATTTTTTTTATTTTTTATTTTATTTTTTTATAATGAAGTAACAGTAGTGGTCGTGCAATGTCGATTCACTTAAGCTTTCGATCCAACCCATGTAGCGAGCTTTATGTCAATGACGCCCAAACCACTAGGGCTTTAGGGCACTAGGTGTGGAACACCCCTAAGGACTTATTAACCCGAGCTGAAAAGGCTACGAAACCAACTAACCATCCTGCCTCATGCCAAAATTCTACCGTTTGACGCGAGAATTACTGCTGATTAGGCAGGACTGACCCGATTACTAGGCAGAACCTCGGGTGAGACAATTATTACTTTATAACACATACTAACTTTACTTTATTTAGAACAAAAATAAAAATACACTTGGACAAAAAACAAGTGTTTCAATCTCACTCCCCACAAACCATGTTGGTGTGAATGTGCAAATTTTTCAAAGTATAACTCGTGAATTAGTGTCTAAGTAACGATAAATAGAAAAGACTCTACTATGGGATTAATTTTTACCATGTCCATTTGTTTTAACGTTTAAAATAATCTATGAATATTAACTAAAAAACGAAAAAATTTAATTGACACAAAAATAAAAAAAAACCAAATTTTTCTCACCCCCAAACTTATTTCACACTTTGTCCTCAAGGTGTGGAAAATAAATATAAACTACACTGAAACATCCAAAGAGAAATCAACAACAATCCTAAGCGACTGGAATGAGGGAGAAAACGAAATGAAAAATAGAAAAGGAAAAAAAAAAAAACAAAAAACAAAGCAGACAAACAATGAAAGGATACACAAAGACAAATAAAAGAATGAGAAATGGAGGAAGACACACCTGGATGGGGTCGAACTTGGTACAGGAAAGCATCAAAGAAATGCTCAAAAAATATTTGTAGTCCAAAAAAAAGGCCCGTGACCAACGACCGAGCATAGAGACAAAAACTTGGAAAACATACATTGGGCCTCAATGAAAATGGCATGCAAACACATCAAAAGCCCAACTAGCGGCGGCATTGACTCACACGCATGCACACACGTACATCCACAAACCCTAGCTGATTGTGTACCACACCTTGGATTCCCTGTTGCACTCCCTCGAGCCCGGAGTCATACTTGTCAGCAAAACCAGAGCCAAACGGCTCTCTGTCTTGTCATTTTTCAAAACCCACATGTCTGACAAATCACGTGAAATGGGTAGCCTTGGACACGTGGCAAATATCAGTGCATTGAAACTCTTAGGATTCCAAACGAACGGTCAGATTACAGTGAAGCATGCGGAAAGCTTTGGATACCTGAAGTGGTTCTCATTGTTATTTTGTATTGTAGAAACTGAAAGAACAGAGTCATTTCTCTCAGCCCTCATTGCTGCCACAAAGAAAAGAACACAGTCACGGGAAGAACACATTCGTTTTCAATTTTCCTTCTCTCTCTAGAAAACCCCCAGAGATTCACGGTGCTCTTGCCATGTTCAAAACTCGCAACCCAACCAGTAAGTCAAACCTCCATGTCACAGCAGCTCCTGCATCCTCTCGAAGAGGTGCCTCCGTAGCCTTCCAGCCTGCACAACTGAAGAGTGACGATGCTGAAGGTAAAAATCCTCCGAAATTTGTGTGACTTCCGTGTCAGCTTGATGGATTTGGGTGAAAGGAAACAAGATCTAACACATGCATGTGTTTTTATCCGTAGGAAGTCCCCCAAACTTGCAGATTTGAGCCCATCTACACCACGGACACTGATTGTCAACAAAATCCGAAACCAGTCGGTGTCTGCCATAGAAAAGAACGCACAGTGCAGCTCCAATCATCACACAGAGGTACACATCTTCACACCAACTATCGTAGTGTGGTGATTTCCATGTCGCCTATAACTCCACCATGCAAATGTATAAGTTGTGTGTCTCGTTGGTGTGCAAAGGTGCTTGAGCTGGATGCTGGACAGCAGCAAGGACACGGCACAGAGGCGACATTGCGGACCTGAGGCATGCAGAGGTAAAAAAATTTTCTCCACCAATGATGACCCCCAAATTGATACACCTGTTTCCACTGGAACTCATACACTTGATTGTTCTGTTGCAGGGAAAATACCCCAGATCGGCAAAGGAAACGTGATGACAAAACCATTAGCTTACGCTGAAGAATGGCCGCTTAGCAAAATAGAGAGGTATAACATCACATCCCTGCTTGTATATGACAGATCTGCTACTGGATGTAGATCTGCTACTGGATGTATGATTCCGTCTAAAATGATCTCTCTGTGCATTAAATCTTGATTGTCTTGTTTTGCTGGCTGCATAAAAATCAGATGTTGAAATCAGAGTTAAAAATGTAGAAGATACTATCTGTAAAAAAAAAACAATTAAAGGCGCCCGTTGAGTAATGGAACGAATTTCAACATGTTCGTTGGGATAGGTTATTATGCGTCAGCAATTTTATACATCACTTCATCCAGCTGCAAGGCTTGTAAGTTGTAAACTAATTGATTTCAATTAGTTTTGTATCTACTGGGTTTCTTAAGTCTTCTTCAGAATCAATCTGAAACCCAAGAATATGTTGGGGTTTTCCAACCCATGATGAGTTGTCCTAAGTAAGTTTATTAGAATTATATTCAGGATTAAATTGTTTATCCATTTGAAATAGTTGTTTTCTCAATTTAAGTTGTTTTTCCAATTGAAGTTAGTTTCTCAATTGGAGAAGGATACATAACTAGATTCCATAGGATTAGTATTCCTTATTGAAGAAGACCTTTATTGGGTTTTGAATTGGAACAAAACAATAAGTTGTTTAGCATTCTAGGAGTCAGAGTGAGAGAAGGGTAAAGTTTGTGAAGGAGAAAAGAAGAGAGATAAAAGTGTATTTCTTGTTCTTGTAATTTTAAATTTTTCGTCAAGTCTTAATTCTAGGACTTGGCAAGATGATCCGTTGTACTCATTATTGATATGGTGAAAGATTGTTGTTGTTGACTCGTGGACGTAGCCAAACCACGTTAATTTTTGGTGTGATTTATTTTGTTTTTTGATTTCTCAAGTTTGTTATGTTTTTCCCATTCTTAGACGTGACATTCAAAATAGAATATCAAAATAGTTTTGGTCAAATATTGATTACTCATGACGTGTTGGGAAAATCTCACTTGTGCTCAATTTTCTTATAACTTTGTTCCCATTAATTCATAGGGCTCTAGAATAGTCCTTGAAGCCTATTCTTATACCTAAAACCAAACCGGTTAACCGGCCCCAAACTAGAAACATAAACTCTAAGATGTAATTGATGATTCTATTCTACGCCTATTTTGATAAAAGGGATTAAAATCTGAGGTTATCTCAATGCGTGCATCCCATCTTTCTCGGAGACGGGGCGTCCTATATGAGAAAGACTATATATAAAATTTATTTTATATGTTTTGTTAGTTAAGCCCGATGACTGATGTGATCAAGTAATCTGCAATAAACTGCTGCTTTAGAATTTATGTTTGCTATTCCCCCTGTGCAGCTCATAAACTTCTATCTCCAGTCATTTTAGAGCTCAGTGGGCGATTCCTACACGTAAGAGTTTATAAGCTGGTCCTTCCTGAGGTGCGGCATTGTCTTAACTTTGATTAACATGTTTTTTGGCAGTCATTTAAGTTTCATTGTGAACTGTTTGGATCCCAAGTTTAGATAAAAGTAGATGAAGTTGTGTACATTCACCTGAAGCTTATGAATCTTGTAATGTCTGTCAAAATCCATTTCACACTCAATACTCAGGACAATCCCAAAAGCAAAAAACAAAGTAGAAAAATTCAAGTTTCTTTTCCAAACAACACAAGTTACACAACCAAGCTGTTGTTCAAGTCTATCATTCATAACCAACAACTGACTAGCTAACTAATAGTCTAATATAATGGTTAACTAATATAAATGAATCTACTGTATTGACTTCACTGCAGCTCTCACTTCTCCTTTACTTTTCCCATCATTTCCAGCTTTTAAGTTGTTTGATACTTTTATTTTTTCCATTTTAGATGGACACTCTACATATTGGGTACTTTAAGTTGCAACTACACCATATGAGAAATACCCACAAATAGGGCTTAGTCAGTAAACATGTTGTATAATACATCTCACCCACCATTATAAACCAAAGAGGCAAATTATGATCACATCTAGACAGAACACTAAAATTGCAGAAAATTATCTACATAAAAGAATTACCTTAATTCAAGAGTTTCTCAAATCACCCTACTTTGCTGTATATCTCCAAGTGCTAGTAAAATTAACTCTGTGATTCATTCTCCTGAGATTGCAGATGCTCTCAAAGAGCACACCCAAAAACCCTTGAAATGACTTGCTCAATATCATATCTATCTCTGCGATACCCAACTATAGAGAAAAACAAGGTCAAACTATTATATTTATGTCTCACAAAAACTAAGCAACTAGAACCATAATATAAGAAAATTTTCTTACCCTGTGTTTAGCACCCATGACGATATACTGGCTAAGTTTCAGGAAATCGAGCATATTGGACCCCTTGTAGTTGGGTGTGGTAATCTCTCATAAGATGTCTCAACCTTGACCCATAATCTTGTAGCTCAAACAATGTCTTCCAGTCAAAGGTTAAAAGATCTCCACCGTGAGATGCATAAATATTCTCCAGCTCAATAGTCACCAACCTAAAGATATAACCTTGGGTGCAATTGACAAAATTATGGGTTTAAAAAAAAATTCACATAACTCCAAATTTGTAAGCCAATCCGTTTTTTGGGCGTCGGAAGTGAAAGATAGCTGAGTAAATCTTCAAAGCACCTATAATAGAAAAAACAAAACATAACAATTGAATTATTTGTTGTAATTCTAATTAAATGTTAAATAAGAAAAGAAAAACATGAAAAATAAAATCAATTTACATTGGAAGTAGCGTTAAGTTATGTAGCGTTTCAAGTTCAACTATTTTGCCGTTATGACTCAGTTTGTCAATTACCTCTCAAATAATGCTCCTAAAACTCACTATCGGGTCAGTCCGTTTTGGAATGGCACATCTAACTCTACTGGCCACCAAATACAGTGAGTGCCAACCAAATGATGTAACCGGATAAGGATTTCGTTTGAGATCACCCACTATCTTCACCGTATTTCTATCAATAAAGAAGAGAAAGAATGAAAAAAAAAAAGTGAAAAAACAACTAGTACGATGTATACAATTGAAAACACAAAAAAAAAAAAATATCATTCATCTCAATATCAACTTGAACTTCGATGTGAGTATTTCACTATCAATTTGTTTCAACTCAAATGTACTATTCTTCATCAATTGAAATAGGATGGAGTTTATCTCTGTAGAGATGATCAAGATTTTACCATCCACAAATTTGATCATATAACTTGGATAATTTGAACTTATTTCACAAATTTGATAGGAAGAAGTCGTATATATATCCAAGTTATATGAACAAATTTGTGGATGACAAAGTCTTGATCATCTCTACAAAGATGGACTCCACCCTATTTCAGTTGATGAAGAATAGTCCACTTGAGTGGAAACAAATTGATAGTGAAATTCTCACATCGAAGTTCAAGTTGATATTGAGGTAAGTGATATTTTTTATTTTGTGTTTTCATTTGTATACATCGTACTAGTTGTTTTTTACTTTTTTTTTCATTCTTTCTTTTCTTTATTGGTAGAAATACAATAGAGATAGTGAGTGATCTCAAAGAAAAGTCTTATCCAGCTACATCCTTTGGTTGACATTCACTGTATTTGGTGGTCAGTAGAGTTGAATGTGTCATTCCAAAACGGACTAACCTGATAGTGAGTTTTGGGAGCATTATTCGAGAGTTAATTGACAAACTGAGTCATAAGGGCACAATAGTTGAACTTGAAACGCTACGTAACTTGACGCTACTTCTTATGTAAGTTGATTTTAATTTTCATGTTTTTCTTTTCTTATTTAACATTTAATTAGAATTACAACAAATAATTCAATTGTTATATTTTGTTTTTTCTATTACAGGTGCGTTGAAGATCTGCTCAGCCATCTTTCACTTCTGAGGCCCAAAAAACAGATTGGCTTACAAATTTAGAATTACGCAAAATTTTTTCAAACCTATAATTTTGTTAATTGTTGGTGACTATTGAGCTGGAGAACGTGTATGCATCTCACGGTGGAGATCTTTTAACCTTGGACTGAAAGACATTGTTTGAGCTACAAGATTACGGGTCAATGTTGAGACATATTGTGAGAGATTACCACACCCAACTACAAGGGGTACAATATGCTCGATTTCTTGAAACTTAGCCAGCATATCGCCATGAATGCTAAAGCACAGGGTAAGAAAATTTTCTTATATTATGATTCTAGTTGCTTAGTTTTTGTGAGACATAAATCTAATAGTTTGACCTTGTTTTTCTCTGTATTTGGGTATCGCAGAGATAGATATGATATTGAGCAATTCATTTCCGAGGTTTTTGGGCGTGCTCTTTGAGAGCATCTGCAATCTCAGTAGAAAGAATCAGAGTTAATTTTACTAGCACTTGGAGATACACAACAAAGTAGGGTGATTTGGAAAACTCTTGAAGTAAGGCAATTCTTTTATGCAGCTAGTTTTCTGCAATTTTAATGTTATGTCTAGATGTGATCATATTTTACCTCTTTGGTATATAATGGTGGGTGCGCGATGGTATACAACATGTTTACTGACTGAGCCGTGGGTATTTCTCATGTGGTGTAGTTACCAAGGAAAAGAAACTTGTGTTGTTCAGAGTGAGAAAAGTAAAGGAGAAGTACCAAACAACTTACAAGTTGGAAAGGATGGGAAAAGGAAAGGAGGCTGCAGTGAAGTCAATACAGTAGATTCACTTATATTAGCTAGTCATTATATTAGACTATTAGTTAGTTAGCTAGTCATTTTCTTGGAGGTAGATCGTTGATCACCATCAGTTCATTGTCATCGATATCAGTCGGCCATATTATACAAGAAAAGTTGAGTGTCGTGTTGGGTTGTTTGGAAAAGAAACTTTTTTGTTTCTGCTTTTGAGATTGTATTGAGTGAAGGGGATTTTCAGACATTGTTTAAGGTTCATATGAATGTACACAGCTTTTATACTTCATTCTTCTCTCCATGGGAGGAAGAAAAGCCAAGGAAAAGATATCCTTGAATATTTTGTGACTATTCTTTTCGCCAATATCCCCGAGGATATTGGGTGAAGAAATAAGATTTCAAATATTTTCGTCCATGAAACAGTCATGTTCACACACATAGAGAAATTGTATCATTGCTTTTCGTCCGCGTTTCCAAGTGATTACCGTGAGTTTGGTGAGGAAGCGTCATCGTAAATCTCGATTTGCCCCATGTATTTATATTCAGCAATCCGAAAATTATCTGCTAGAAAAAAAAGTGTTTTGAGTGCAGAATTGTTGTCATAAAAAATAATCCCAAACTGTATAAAATTCCGAAGACAAAATGTCCTAAACCAAATTCTTGAAATTTCAAGATGACATATTGAACCGATCCTGAAATTTCGGCACAGGAATTGGTATTGTTTTGGTAATCCCATACCAAAATGAAAATCAATATTATATATATATATATTATTATTATACATTTGAATTGTTGCTCACTACTAGTAGCAATATAATTGGTGTAGTCCACAAGTAGTAACCATAGCCCTTTGTTCAATGCTATCATCCAACTTTTGGATTTCCAGAATTTTAGCTTTGACATTTAGTCCATAGGTAGTAACCATAACCCTTTATTGCCACATTTGACGATACAAACCTCCCACACACACTCATCTTGCACTGCTGCTTCTCAACCAAATGTGTCTATTTCTTCAACACGAAATCAAAAAATTGTTTGTTAGTTTTTGAACATATTAGGTTTGTAACTTATATTTTTGTTTTTGGGTTTGTTACTTATTTTATTTTGGTTGCATATTAATTTGAATTGATATGAATGGTTGATATTTCAATTTATATGAAATTTGGAAATACGTAACTTGAAATATCGAAAATATTTTGGGAATCCCAAAAATTGAGAATACCTAAATTTTGGTTTGAGATTTGTCTTCAAATTTCTATTCCAAAAATTTTCGGTTTAGAATTCAGGATCCCATTTTCAATTTGAAATCCCATACCGAACCACCCCGACGTCTATATGACCTAATTTCTAAATCCAAGACACAAAGGGGTAACATTCTAAATCCATAAGTTAAGGGGCATCGCATTTCCCAGCTTGTTTGGGAGTTAACTTGATGCAGCAAAACTACATGATGTTGGACAAAGCATATTATTATACGGGAGATTAAGGGAGTGTATTCAATTGAGAATTTGAAATACTTTAAATGATTTATAAATTCATGAATTTTTATGGAGTTTAATTGTTTTGTAGAGATTCCATATAAAATTTTGATTTAATTCCTTCGAAATCTCATGGGAAGATGTGAGATTTGTGGATGCTTAAAATATACTACGAAATCTCTCAAATTCTCTTTAATTCCTCAACTTTCTCAAATTCTTTAAAATCAATTTCTAATTGAATACACCTTGAATATTATAAACTTCTTTAAAATTCTAATTGAATACATCCGGATTTGTCGGATTTCTAAGGATTTTAACAAACTAGGATTACAATAGCAAGAGATTCAAACTCCATTCACAATTCGCGCGTAGTTTTGCGGATCTTTCACTTAAGAACTGGTGGTTTCAGTTTTGGTAATTGAGGTCTTGCAATTTGCTTAATAATTCAATCAACGACATTTAACAAGTACGGACTTCAAATGAGAACTCTAACGAAAGCGCACGGTAGAAACTGCGGTAAGAAACAACTAGAATTCGCAGGATGCAAAGCGAAGCGTCAGGACACTCACATACGTGGCGAGAGCTCGATGTTGTTATCCGACCTGACATCCCTCAGCAGATTCTAAAGGGACAAGATTAGGTCTTGTGCCTGACCACCTTTCACACCCTTTTCTTCGACCGACTCCACCGAGACCGAGAAAGAGACAGAGCCGACAGCTTTTTTTCCATTTTCTCAACCCTCTTCGTTGTCGCCTCCCTCACCATGCATTGTGTTGGACGATGGTTTAGAAGGCTGCGGCTATCCAGTGGGGTCTCAAGCCACCGACATTGGTAAGCTATATGGCTCACACACACACACCCACCTATAAATTGTGTGGTTGCTCTTGTTTCCTTATAAAATTCAAGTTCAGTCTGATTAAATGTATGACAAAACTTTGTACCTTGATTTGGTCTCGATCTTGTGTGGGCATGACAACTTATTGCACGATTTGTTAACTCGAAACGAATTTTAAATCGGACATGATATATTATTGTACGATTGGTTAATCGAAATGAGTTCTAGGTCAATTCGTTAACGAATCAAGTATATGATGCTATAATACGACAACCATAACCCGTTTGCGAAATCTAATTCTCGTGTTATGGATAATATTAATGTCAATCAGCTGCCTTGTCATTAACTGAATATGGGAGTAGTTATGAGTAGATAATTTGGAGACCTTAAGAGAGTTATGGTGTAGTTCCAGTGCATACGCATCATAATACTATTGTTTTCAAAAGGGAACAATACTTAAATTGCACCTTACTGTGAAGCTCACTATTAGAATATTAACCCATTTGTGACTTACCAAGTTTCATGCTATACATTTTAGTTAAAATCGGCATCATTCATTTACTAAATTGCACACACACACACACACACACACACAAAACGAATTAATTGGATATTATTTAGTCATCTCTTCATGTATCGAGTAATTAAATCAATGATTTTAGGTAATAATTAAGATTACCATGATGATTGTCCATTTTAATTGATACATATAGAAAGTCAAACAATCTTCAATTTAATTGAGTTTTTTAATCTTTTTGTAAGAGTGATAAAAAAATCATTGGTTTTGATTGTTACATGTGTACAATTCATTAGTAATTCGATTACAAATGAATGAACAAGAAGGTGCTCCTAAGTTTAAATCTGAGTATCTTTTCTTTTTAATTAGTAATCTTGTTTCTTAGCACGCACATATCGGAGTGTGATTTAGTCATTTCATTTCATTTTATGTGTGATACATACAATGCACCAACTGCGTGTTAGCATAGGAATAACAAATAAACCTTTTTATGCCTGCAATTGCTTTGTATCAAATGTTTAAAGTTTCACTCTGTTTTTTACAAGAGCTAAAACCAAACCTAATATTCATCAACTCTCTTCATCCAAATGGTAGAAAACAACCAAACAAATCGCAAATGCATCTTAATCACTGTAAACTTTAATTAAATTACCTTAAGGACAACTCACATGCCTGATTTTAATACAACTTTTAAAGGTAAATGGTAGATATGTGTAATAATTATATGCAACTTATGTGAATGTTGCCGTGTTTGATCACTTTGGTTGAAGTTACGACGGTGATGCTTTTTACACTTTTTTTAGCATCTCCTGTGCTCTTCTTTATCTCTCATCATAAGATTAAATGAATAAACAGAGACAACGGACAAAGTTAAAATAGGGTGTGTGTGTGTTTATCTCGTTTTCCTATATACTCGCTCATGTCCAATCTTTTACAACTTGATGATAGCATGTATTGAACTTTTTTCTTTGACAAGGAGTATTCCAGAGCACTCCAATTTAAGGAGGATAATTTGAACTTTATTGTATAAGATGAGAAACACACTGACATACAACCAATGATATTTTTGAAATTCTTTTGTTCACTGCATAACTTCGTCCCCACCACCTCACCCCCTCCCCCTCTATTGATTGGTAACATGCTGGATTCTTTTGTTTCTTAACATGTTGGATTCTTTTGTGCTGCAGGGAATGCTTACAAACTTTTGTACCGATGGGACACCTAATAGCCAGACACCACACAAAATTGAGGTAACCATAACGTTGTTGTTGTTTTGCAATATTTCACATTTTATACCCCTTGAGTTGTTTAGATTTCAATATTGTAGTGTAACTGATTGTACAATGGTTAGTCGACTGTATGTTTTAATATGGGAATGTGTACTTGTTCAGTTTCTTTCTTTAGAGTGCAAGCATGACATTAGCTAGATGAAGATTGCTATGTGGTTATAAAGGCAGAGAAAGTGCCATGTAATACCAGTTTATGCAATAAATGATTATTTTTAAAAACAAATTTTGTTTTAAGTGATTCTATTTAAATATATATTCACATGACTTATATCTCACCGTCAACTAGCTAGTGAACGAAATCAAGAAATGAGTTTTATGTTCACTTTACATTTGCATACTGTTAGTGTCCATCTTATCACACTATATACATATATCTCATGGCCATACTAAATAAATCAGCATGTTGGTGACTGGTGATTTTTATGGACGAGTTTTTACAATATTTTTTCTATATACATATTTGTAGTTCAAGTTTGAAGGTGTAAAAAGGCCGACCACAGGAAATTCTACTCCTCCTTTGTTTCACGGACATCTAAATAAGTTTTCCGCTGCCTGTCATGTGTTCGAAAGTGGAGAGGTTACTATCGCTTGGTATAAAATGGCAAAAGAAGATAGAGATAACGCTTTCATCCATCCATACTTCGGATTGAACAAGGTGGTAAGGCGCTCATCATCTCTAAAGATGTTGATTACACCCTATCTAATTGGGTCAAAGCAAATCCAAGTTTAGCCCACACGCATGACACTCGTGTCATGATTAGGTGAGTGCACCATCAAATGTTTTTATTTTGAATATCTGCTTTTGTGGTTTATATATATAAATATATAAACACTTGCGTTTTTTGCGATGATTTATAGGAATATAATGCAAATAATGCGAGACTGCAGACAAAATTATGGCATTTGTGCCGCATTTACAGCCGATTCGATTTTTGTCGTCGAGCATGATGTCCAAATGGGAATTCCGTTGGGTGTGACGGAGTAGAGGGTGATATAAGCAGTTTTGAAGCTCTTATCAACGAATTATATCCTTTCCGTTGCTGTAATGATTTTGAGCTTTCCCACTTGGTTTCAAGCATGAAGCCTACTGCTAATGTGCCCGAAGTGGACATGGAGTAAGTTTTTGTATTTGCAATTACGTTTATTCTTTTTGTGATAGGTGTGTTGGTATTAAAGTCTAAAATGGTAATAAAATATTTGTCTTGTAGGCGTCGACTTACTACACTGTTGAGTCATCCATGGTACCTAACGTCGGTGGATCAAAACGATATATGTGTCGAAGCATGGTCCATGATTAGTAAGA